CATAGTGACATATTATTATAGATATTTGTATTATATGTACATACTTGCATACATACGTAAAATTCGATCATTATACAAACCGCAATAAATTCAAATTTTTAAATACATATTAATATATACATATTATATTAATTTAAGCTACTAATATTTTTGGATAGTATATTACTTTCAAATGATATTACTGAAATATTTTTGACAAGTATTGCAATTTATTGATCAAGATATTTGATGAGATCGTATGTTTGAAAACTATTATAAAAAACTGTGACAAAGATTAAATAGGTACTGTGTTTAAAAATTTTTAATAATAAATAATTATTCTTGGAAATTTTAAAAATAATTTCAACTGCTTCTAAAAATAGCTTCTTAAATTAAGGTAAAGAGATGATGGATATGGAATTAGTTTAGCGAACTGTTCAACCATAGGAGAACAGCTCGATGTCGATAAACTAATTTCATATTGCACGTATTAATTGGTGGGATATATATATACACAAATTTTGTATAGTAAATGAACAATATCTTGCTAACATATCAATATAGCAGAGAACAAGAAAATTTGAAATGTAATTTGAGTTTCTAGAACAAAGTTATGAGAATATTTGGCTTTTGTTTTCGTATAATGTACGTATCTCGTTAAATTTCGAGTCAAGTTCACCACAAAAACCAATAAAATAAAATAAAAAATATTTTATAATAAGGTAAATGATGAAATAAAATGAAAGAAAAATATAAAAAAAAATATTCTGTTAAGACTGGATAAAATCACAGATTATTATTGTTTCCGTTTTTTCTAGCACTTACTGAGAGTATATATAAACAAATTAGAAAGTTCAAAAATCAAATTACACCTTCATTTGTTAAATACATTCACAGTTATTTAGGTCGTAATATAGAAAATATTTAAGTATATATTAAAAATATCAAATTCACGTAATTCAAAATATTTCAAAATTAAATTATAGAGTCTTATATCGTATGCCCTTATTTATTTAAAAACATATGACTGTAATAATTGCTATTAAATTATATTATATATTTTGTGGAAAATACAAATTGTTAAAATAGTTTCATTATTATGGTGAATGTTTTGATTTCTAATTACTATTGTGAATTTAATTAATACAATTTAATTACTAAAATAATTTTGTAACCTCAATGGCAACACCAATTCATACTTATTTGCCATTGTAATTTTTCACTTATATGTATGTATATCATTTCCAAATAAAAGGTAGTCCATTTCCGATTGTATATAACAAAGGTTATGGGCCCAGCCGGCCAAAAATTGAAAGAAGTAAAATTGATATTTGAAAGATCTGTGTGATCATATTAAAATTTAAAAATAAAAATCTTGCTTATACGATCTGTGTGATCAAAAATAAATTTTTGATAATATAAATACTAAATAATAGTAATAGTAGTAATATATTATATTGCTTATATAATTGTAAATTGTTATAGACAATTGAATTGAATTGTTAGCAATCCGATTTTTGTTTAAAATATTATACCTTATGTCTTATTCTGTTAACCCTTTCAGTTAACTTTTTACTTCGCGAAATATTTCAAGTAAAGAAGTAAGACCCAAGGAATCTCTGCCTGGAGTTCGCCAGTGCCGGACATGAGCATAGAAAGGGGATCATTGTTTTGAACTCATTCTCCTTGCATGTTTGCCAATAAGACAATGGCCTGTCAGGACCGCTACCACAGCGCGTTGCGCAGCAGCAGCTCTAGGGTTCTTAGAGGCATGCCTAAGTTCTCCTTTTCAGGTGGAATCCCAAGAGTAGTTTCATGCCTCGCAAGCTCGTCCGCCTTGCAGTTCCCCGGAACCCCACTGTGTCCGGGGACCCAGACCAGGCTTATTTCGAACAGCCCCGTCATTTCGTTGAGAGACGACCTGCAGTCCTGGACCATTCTAGACGTAGAGACCTCAGAGCCCAGTGCCCTTGTCGCGGCCTGGCTGTCAGTGAATATACTGACGGTACCAGCCGATACAACATTACAACTAAGCCAGCGCAGAGCCTCGACAAATTGCGACCACCTCGACTAGAAATACACTACGGTGATCCTTCAAACGGAAGGACTGCTCAACATCTAATTGCTCAGAATAACGGTAAATACCATGTCATCAAAAAATATAATTATTTTTTTTAACTCACACTGAAGTTAACCCTTGAGTTCAGCATTGTATTAACGTCTTTTTAAAATTGTTTTTTGTCTCATCCTAAATGTATGTAATTTTGTGAAAAATTTTAGTATGTGAATGAAAATAATTTGAATAATATAATAGCTAGATTATTTTTAAAAGCAGTTGTTGAAGGGAAAAGTGCTACTCACAAACTATTGACCCAACTTTATTTAATTAATATTCTATATGTTTGTATAGAATTCTAAAAACTATACACGCGATTCTTAAATGAGTCATAAGATCATAAATTCTTAATGTCTATATCAATTTTTAAATATAATTTGTGTATAACATTAATTTACTTAAACCTACATTTTTTGTTATATAATTAAGATAATTTTATCTTCTAGCCGTCATAAATATTTTAAGTTTTTCTATTATTTTATTGCCGTTAAATTTGTATAATAAGTTTCTAACTATATAAGTTTCTTATTATTACAATTCAATCTATATATATGCATGTAATAAACTATGATAGTGTTTGTATTGCATTCTTTTGTATATTGCCATAAAAATGGTTAAAAGTTCAATTATATTGTATGTATATGTCTAGTCTTTGTTTAAAATTAATGATTATAATTAGTTAGCTCAAGCTCGTTTGCTTACAACAATATTATTATATTTAGTTGGTGGTTAGTTTTGTTAATTTTTATGAATTTTTAATATTTGTTTCTCTTATTTTATTTCAATTTTTTGCATTATTAATCATATATTTGAATTTATGTCATATAAATTTAATAACAATGATATTTATTAATTATTGAATTTCTTCTAGTTGTAATGTAAGAAAGAATAGAATTATAAAAGATTTTTTTTAGCGTAGAATTTTAGTTGAACAAATTAAACTGTTTTAATGTAGTAAAAAATAAATATTGCTAATATTAAATGTAGTTTTCGTTCAGTGTTAGAAATGTAGTTAAATATTGCAATATTTAAAAATCTGAATTGCAACCTTAATATGTGTGTTATTCATTTTGAAATTAACCTCTAGTTAATATAAATCTTCACATTTTCAAATTAGAAAAGATACATGTGTGTAACGCTGAATACCAATTTAAAGGTGAGGATTATTTAAAATACTTCATTTAAAGACATATATAGTACGTTATAACCCTCTTGGTGTATAAAACTCCGAATTACATCAGCTTATGTATAAAGGAATAGTTTCGCATTTTTCTTTCAGTAGGTATCTTCACATTTTTATTTGAAAAATGAATTTCAAATGGTCAACATTTATATATAGCTTTTGATAAGTATTTGTAAATGCAAAACTGTGTTGTATTTACAAGCTAGTCTAAACAACTCCGGGGTTTTTTGGACCTTTATCTTTCAATAAGATTTCTTTATGAACGTTTTAATATGCTCTGTTGGAATCAATCTTGAAATCAAAAAAAATTCTTTAAGATAAAATTCGGATTTACAACAATAACAATAAAGTTGCTGTTTTACCTTCAACAGATTTACTACATAAGTATAACCCTCAACTGTACCAAACAATGGTTATCATAATTTAATTCTATGACAAATAATAAAAATATTTTAATTTTTAATCTTAAAAGTTAAAAAAATAAAATTGATTTTTTGCAAAGTCATAGCGTTTTCTAACTAGAAAGTTTTTGCCTTTAAAATTCTTATTATTACTCGTATTACTTAATACACAATAATTTAAATTACATTATGTGTACATACATATCCATATGATACATATAATATACATAAATATATATACAAGAATTAAACGATTGTAAAATATTAAATAATATATAAATATTTTAATTGCCTTGTCCCGAATTGGTAAATTAAAATTGTAGATTTTTCTCTATAAAGCATAATTGAGAAATTAAAAATTATTGTATAGAATTTTTTTTTCATATTTAAATGGGCAATCAATTAGATGTAGAATTTCAGAAAATTTTACATGCTAAACAAATAATATGAGAAACTTAAATTATAGAGCTGGTCAAATTAAGTAATCAAAAAGAGGTAAAATTTTATTATTTGAATTTATTTTAAAATTAGCTATGTATAAGACAAGAAATATTATTTTTGAAGATTTCTCAAAAGCGTTTTCAAAAATTATAAAATGTCATGACTTTATTCCAGCCATTAATTAACTTTTAAAAAAAAGTAGGGTTACAGTTGGGTGCTCTTTTGTAATACAGACATTCATACCTATATACAACTTGTAATGCAAGTCAATTTGATATAGAAAAATCAAACGTAAAAGCTTTTATTAGCATAACATTCATTTATTTTAGTTTTAATATACATACATACAAATATACATATATGTTAGGGTCATTTTATTGTGTTTTTTTTTGGTTTTTTGATATTCAAGCGCGTGTGATATTTTTATTCTTTTTATGTAAAGGCTTAATATATTTATATATATTGATAGAGGGTGTTTAAGAATTATATAATATTAAATTGAAAACTGATTGTAAATTTTAAATTGAATGAGATTATTTCAAAATAGAATGCCATACGAATAACAAATTGATCTTATTTGAGACGGAGCTAAAAAAAGTGTCCTGTTAAATCTTCTTAGATTAATTTGGTGACTGGTAACAATTCCAGAACCCTGAGGATAAAAAAAAAATATAAAATCTTTATATATCTTTAAAAATACCAACATGAAACACTCTGTTTAAAGTACAATTTCCGTGTAATCGTGCAATTGAAATTTAATTATTTCAATTGAAGAAAAAACAAATTTAAATTAAGCTTAAAAAATGTTGAAAAAAAAATAGAAAAAAATAAAAAAATAAAAAGAGTAATAATCAATTATTATTTTTTATGTTATTTACAGATGATGCTATGAATCTCAATATTGATGGAAATTATTTTAAATTGAATAAAAAACTCAACATATCAGAAACATCGAATAGTCAATACTTAAAAAAAAAAAAGAAATTTATAAAGAATAAAGTACATTAAAATATTAGAAGAAGATTGGAATATAAAATTTATTATAGCAATATTGAAAATATTAAAAAATAAGAAATCTCAAAAATTCCCCAAAACTGCCATTACTTTTCAATAAAAAAAAAAAACAGGAATAAACTTAGAGAAAGACGATAAATAACAACAAGCAAAATGTATAAGGTGCTCGGTGGTCTTAAAAGTTATTTTAAAATCCAAGCAATTCAAACTGATAACGCTGTATTTCGATTACATAATATATTTACAACAGTACTGTTATTATCATGTAGTTTAACAATAACAGCAACACAATTTGTTGGTAATCCAATTAGTTGTATTGTTAATGGAATACCAGCTCACGTTGTCAATACATTTTGTTGGATATCAAGTACTTTTACTATGCCAGATGCATTCCGAAGACAAGTAAGTTATTAAATAGTTTTATAAATACATATGTAATTAATATTTTTGATGTCAATTTGGAAAATTCATAAAATTTTTTTAATATAAATTTATCTTAAGGTTTTAATTACTATGTATAACATATATTATTAGAGAATAATATGTTATTCGTTGTAGTGTTAGTAGACTATAAGAAATTTTTTTGTTGAAGTATTCGAAATTTACTTAAAAATTTTTTGTCATTTTCATTGAAACATTCCATTTTAAAATCGTAGTAAACTTTCAAATTTCGGGAGCAAAATTTACTCATTTGGAATAAAATGAACTAATTCACGTTCAATATTTTATAAAAAAGCAATAAACCTGGTTAACATTTCTGTATTTTGCTAACTTATTATTTTTTTTTTTTTAGGTTGGAAAAGAAGTAGCACATCCTGGTGTTTCAAATGATTTCAATGATGAAGACGCTAAAAAATATTATACATATTATCAGTGGGTATGCTTTGTGCTCTTTTTCCAGGTAAGTTTATTTATCGGTATATATTTATTTGAAAATGAAGAAAATTCTAATTAAAAAGCATACATACATAAATTAATAAAATTAATCAAATTTCAAGCGGATTATTTTAAAATTGTAGCCTCGTATCATATATATATATATACATATACATATATACATTTCAAATGACTTATGAGCTTATAATTTAAAAAAAAAAACAAGTAAAAACGTTTCAGTCGGTGTAAACCGATTGAATTATACCGTGCACCTTTCGTTATTGTATAGCAATTACTCGAACCTGTGAAATCAGTCTATATAAACTTCACGGATATGTCTGACCTATAATTGGACATCTGACTACCAAGTTTCATGAATCTGACTTTATAATTTTTCCAAATATTTAAAATTAGCTTATGGAGTTGTATGGCACGTACCTGAACCCGTCAAGCAATTCACACTATAATTGGACAAACGACTGCCAAAGCTCATGAATCTGACTTTATTATTTTTCCGAATATAAAAAATTTGCTGTTGGAGTTGTATGGCAGCCACCCGAACCGGTGCAGCTATCCCATTATAATTTTTAGAACATGTGTAGAATATAATTGGATAAAATTTTATATTTATAGCTTTATTAGTTTTTGAAATATTTAAAATAAACTCTTTGAGTTGTATGGCAGCTACCCGAACCCGTTATCCGAATCGAATTAATCCAATAACAATAGGGCTCGTCCTTAGCACAAAAGAAAAAACTTGTGAAAGTTTGGTGTCGATTGCATTATTCATTTTTGAGTTATCGTGCGATCGGACGGACGGACGGACGGACGGACGGACAAAGTTAATATACCCTTCACGAAGTGCAGGGTATAATAATGTAGTTAAAATGAATGCGGTTCTGTTGTTACGATAAGATCAAGTTGATAACTTTATGGATTATATACGAGTGGTAATAATATTTTTAAGATTAGTAGTAAATGATTTAAGCTAATAATATACCTGATATGATGCAAAAAATTCAAACATACATACATATGTACATATTTATTTTTTGGTCTCAAATTAATTTGTGTAAGAAATATACATATAGTTAAGTTTATATACTCCTGAGTATAAAATTAAAATTTAATATTTGATAAAAAATTCGATTCGGTCTCTTTAGTTTTTGTTCGTAATTTCTAGACTAATTTCGTCATATTTTTCCAAATGCAGTTAATCTATTGGTTTTAATTTCATTGCTTTGTTAAAAATATTTTCAAAATAATAAAATGATTATCTTATTTTAAGAATACCGTCTAAATTAGCCTATGTATAGAGAAGAATATTTTAACATTAAGTGCGTGTTCATTTTAATATTTCATATTTTAAAATTTAGTATTATACATTTGCTAACTGCGTTAATATATGATTCATATATAAAAATTTCAAGAATTTATTAAATTAATTGAGTTCTGATATATAGGAGTATAAAATTTGTTTTAAAAATAATCTGTATGTATGTATGTATATAACAGGTCGAATGAATATATAAAACAAAAATCTGATGTGGTCAGCGCATAACCAACCGCAATGTATAAAGTCTAGTTTAACAAATTTGTTGCTCTTAGTACAGTTTCGCTTTGTGCCATCCGAATTTCATGGAAAGATCACTATATACATTCGTTAGCTAACAGAACTTAGCTAATTTAAATATTAAATTTTAAGAAATTAGTCCCGTAGTCATATGATTAAAAATATAAAATTGCCCCTAATTTCGGTTTTCAAGTTCTGATATTCCACAAAAATTTTATAAGTTCCTTGTTTTAATACCATTGAATTATTTTTCTTTATATGCGCAAAAATTTTAATTTGGTCCGTATCAAAAGTTCAGTTGCTGACACTAGGTTTGTTCTAAAAGTTAGTTGGTTTCTCGTATTGTCAAACGAAGCTCACATATTAAAATTTTAAGTTAATATGTTGCATAATTTTAAAAAAATCAAAAATGTAAAATCGACTGGTTAAAAAGGTCAACCTCCCGGCTTGAAATATTTTGAAAGCTGATCAATCTGTGTCACGTCGAAATAAACTCATATATAAAATTTCATCAAAACCAGTTCAGCCGAACTTGAGATGCACTCGTACATACACAGACTGATAGACCAACAGACAGATCGATATTTCTCCAAAAATAGTTTACTTACACTTCACTACCATGGAGAAGTGCGCTTCCAACTGGGAACCCAATATGCAAAATTTGGTGTGATCATATGACCTTCCCTATCGTATGCAATGTGGTCGGCGAAAATTGTAACATTGAATCGAGACTTTTGATAACAAGAATTGAAATTATCTCCCAATAAAAACATCATTAATATTAAACAAATATATAACAAACATACGAATGTGAAACATTTGGAATTGTAATATGGCATCTCATAAATCGTTGACATATAAAAACAAAAATCAATCTTAGTTTAGTAAGGAGCAATTTTTTAATTGAAAAGGTCACCCAAACAAAATATATGATTTGTTTTCATTATATTGAAATTATTTGTACATATCTTTTTTCACTATAGGTACGTACAATTGCACATTTACAGACACATACCAAAACCAGTTCCCCAATTTTAATAAAATTTAATAATATGATTTACATATACGGTGTATGTGTATTATTATTATACTCTATACATGTTTTTTACATTTTCATATATGAAAAGTAAATAAGTCTTGTAGTATGAAGAATTGGATCAAAAAAATTTAAATTATTTCTAATATAATATTAAAAAATAGTGGACCATTGAACTGATTAAGCATGAAAAAAATAATAATAAAATGGAGATTTTCCAAATATAATTCAGCATATATAGAGAGATCAGTAAATGAAATTCTGTATGCACTTTTTATGAAAATTTTATAAAAGCTTTTTTTGACATAAGAGTTTACTATTGCTTAAGAGCACACTATACAAAAACTCTGATGTATAATAAAATACATCGTAAAATATAAGCGAACTGATGCTATAGAAATTTTATTTCAAATTAATTCATTTATTTTGAAATTAATTGAGTATTTTTAAAGATACTTCCAATTGTTTTTCGTCAAGGAGTTATTTAAGTTCTATACAGCCGTCTTATCTTAAGTTATATGTAAGTGAATGCACCCATAATGAAACCCCAATTTGAAATAGAAATTTGAAATCAAAACATGGTTTTTGATCTCAAATTTGAATTGGAAATTTCATTTGATAGAAATAATTTGGTCTATAGATGAACGCTCTAAAAGTGGGCAGAAAGAGCTTTTAATCTTTAAATGTCTACACCCAACTATAACTATTGAAGTTTTGAAGTTTTCAAATAAAATTGGAAATTTTCCTTTTTCAAATTGATTATTTTTAATAATATTGCACTTTTTTTTAAATATTTAGAAGAAATGAAATTTTGTAAAATCACTGGTCAGTGTTTTTTAAAACTTCAAAACATGTAAATCCATTGAATGTATTATAGCATACATAATATGTGTTATATTCAGTGAAGCACTAATATTCAGTGTATAAGTGAAATAATATTAATTTTTCAATGTTAGAAATTGTATATAATTAGTAGCTGAGAAAATGCTGTAGTTTGTTCCACTATCACTTAGACCGACTTACTGTTTATTTAAATTAATAAATCGATGTTGCATATAGTGCTTTTATAAAGAAACAATATGACATACATTTACATACATAAGTGTTATAATGTATTAACATCTTTAATTTCACTCTCCATGTACATAAAAACAAGGAAAAGTTAATGATGAAGTAACATAAGAGAATACTTGCAATTTCATTTGATTAATAAAAATTTAAAATATTTTAAATGAAATTGTTATTAAATTAAATAAATTTAGTATAAAGTTGTTTATTCTTGAATTTTTTCAATTTAAATGGTTTTTGAATTTATTTTGAAAAATTTCAATTATTAACTTTAATAAAATGCATTGTAAGGTTAATAAATCCAATCCAATAAATAAATGAAATATGCCATACGTTTATTCATATAATTTATATTATCTATAGTATAAAAAAAATGTATACATAAATACTTAAGTCAAGGACTAAAAATAGGAAAACAAAATGATTTATGAGTAAATTTGACGTCATTAAATATGAAATTACTGCTGTTATTTGCATTGTGATTACCGCTGAGATTGCAATTATTTTATTTTTCGTTGATAAAATATATGAAAAATATTGAATTTTTAGGTTGTAAGATGCGAAAAAATTTAAAAAATGCCCTATAATTCGAAAATTATTAATTTTATTGTTAGATTATTTCATTGTTGGCATTTAAGTTAGTCTCTGAATTATAAATTTGCAATATAAATTTTTTTATATTTAATTTTGTGTGTTATAATAAATTAATTCAAACATTAATTTTTTTTAGGCAATAGCATGTTATACACCAAAATTTTTATGGGATGCATTTGAAGGTGGTCTTTTACGAACAATTGTTATGGGAATGAATTTAGCAATATGTCCTGAAGAAGAAAAATGTGCAAAACGAGGAGCTCTCTTGGATTATTTATTAAAGCATATAAAGGTAAATTTACCTTTTTTTGTTAAATTTTTTAAATTTATAAAACTAAGTTTTTTCTATTTTCTAATTTTAGCGTCATAAATTATATGCAATACGTTATTTTATTTGTGAATTTTTATGCCTTATAAATATTGCAGTTCAAATGTATTTAATGAATAAATTTTTTGATGGTGAATTTTATTCATATGGATTACGTGTTATGGAATTATCTGAAATACCACAAGATCAACGTATTGATCCAATGGTATATGTATTTCCTCGTGTAACAAAATGTATTTTTCATAAATATGGTGCATCAGGATCAATACAAAAACATGATTCATTGTGTATATTGCCTTTAAATATAGTCAATGAAAAAACTTATATATTTATATGGTTTTGGTTTATAATAATGCTAATATTATTATGTGGATTAATGGTATTTAGGTAAGAAAACGATTAAAAAAAATTTTTAATATTTCGGAAATTAAAACTGTAGGAAAATGTATAAATCTTAATAATATTTATTTGTATACAAATTTCGTACAATTTTGAATCTTATGAAGGAAACAAATGATTTTTAATTTACAAAAACAATATTGATCTTTATTAAAATTTATTAAATACTACGGCCTACATAGTTAAACTCTATGAGGCAATGAAACTGTAGCATGACATAGTCTATGATGTCATGCACTACCCCTATGCTCCTCCTAGGAGAGAAAAAAAAAATTATTAAATGTTTACAATTGATTTTTATAACATGTATCCCACATTATATATTACAAATGTTATACCGCCTGGTATTCTTAAAACTTACAATGTATTTGAAGGTTTGTTTAATAAATTTAAATAAATTCAATTAAAAACGTATTGAGGACTGTGTGGACTTTAAACTCCATTGTAAATAAGAAAAAAATATGTGTAAATTACAAGCTAATTTAATATAGAGAATGAGAAAAGTATATGAGTTACTAAATATATATTATATTGTATAATTACAATTCAAATTACGTCAATGATAAAATTAAATTGAATGTTATTCAATCTTTTAATCAATTCGATCTAATCAAAATTGAATTCATTTTATAATTAGGTTCAATTGCCATCAAAATCAAATTGATTTTTATTTATGTATAGTAATAGGTTGCATAGCTTTTGCGTACAAGATGTACAAATATACAAATATACAAGTTATGCAAAAATATCAATGAAAAAATTACGTTCTAGTTCTTAAATAATAATTTAAGTTTTATGTTAAATACTAAGTTAAGTTAAATGTACTTTTGCGTCGGAATCGATTATTTAACAAACAAGTTTGAAAAATCTAGGTATTTTATGTATTAATATTTTTATAATTATTAATATTAAGTCTGAATTTTTATAATTATTTAAGAAAATGTTTAAACATTTAAGAATTATTTTTTTAAGAACTATAATTTCATACACATACATACATATTAATTTTTATTCTTTTTCAATTTTTGTTTTTTTTTTAGAGCTGTTATAATATTTTGGCCCAAAATGAGATCAAAAATTTTAAATGCACGTAATCGTATGGTACCACGTGAAATATGTGAATCATTATCAAATAAATTAGATATTGGTGATTGGTGGTTAATATATATGTTGGGTGTTAATTTAGATCCTGCAATTTATAAAGATGTTATGGCTGAATTAGCAAAACAAATAGAACCGAAACGTAATAAATCCTAAATAAAGCTCAAGAAAAAATAAATAAAATTATTAATATGTGCTCATACTAAAATTATATTTTATATATATTTTTGGGAAATTAAATAAAATAGCTGTGTAAAATTTATTAAAACAAAAGACAAAAATTTAAAAGAAAATTTTGAATATAAATGTATAAAAATAAGAAATAAATCAAAATGTCTTTATGAGAAAATAATATAAGGGATTCTAATATTTTACTAAATTATAAATGCAATAATTATTTAATATTTATTAAATTGATGTCAATATTTTGTAACATTATGTATTGAAATTTAAAAGTAAAATAAATTGTTTATTTGATGATATTGTAATTGGTTAGAGAAATTGTGGAAGTAATTTTGAATTATAATAAGTAACAGTAATATAACAGTAATAATAAGAATCCCGCATATTTAATATGAATTGATTTACATAATACGATTATTATTAAAAATTTCTTGAAAAATTTTCAAAATAAATAAGGAAAAAAATTTGAAAATTGTAACTTACATACGTAAAAACCGAATTTGTAAATTAATATATTATGAATCTTAAAGCTTAAATTAATAATATTACATATGTATATGCATATACAAGTGATATTGTAAGATTAAAAAAAACATATGAGCAATATAAAACCGAATTTTCTCTTCTAATGAAAAATCACTAATTTCATTAAATATAATAAACTTCTATATGTATATACATATGTAAATAATTATGTAATTAAGTTTAAAAATTATAGAATAGAAATAAATTTTCAAAAATATTACTTTGAAATAAATGAGGAATAAATGAGGAATAATTAAAAAAAAAATTCAATTTTTAAGAATATTTTTGAAATTAAAATCAATGTATTAAAAAAAAATGGTAGCTGCCTTTCAAAAATTTTTTTAAGAAAATAAAATTATAATAAAAATAAAACAATATGGCAGATTAATAGATGCCATTTAATTTATAGTAATTGATATTATTAAGTTAATTAATTATTAATTTTATTTTCTAATTTTACAAATGATCACAACTCGTAAATATTAAAAATTTTTGAGAAAATTTTTGTTTTTTTTTTTTAAAGTATATGTATGTATACATATTTTCAGTGTATATACATACATATAATTTTTTAAATATACATTTTAAATATGAGTAAAGACACTTATTCATCACATATTTTAAAATATTTTAATAATTTTGTATAATATTATTGACAAGCCATAAATGGTTAATAAAAATTTTATATTTAATGTTTTATTTTAGTTTTTTTTTTAATTTTATTTAATTTTTAAATTTATTATGTTATGTATACGTATATGTAATTAAATTAAAAGAGAATTTATTTCAAATTTATTTTATATAATATTATAAAAAAAAAAACATTTCTAAAAGAAAAATATTGTAAACACACAATTATTTTGTAGCAATGTTTAAAGATTTTATTTTTTAAATGGGAAGACACAGAAAAAAAAAGAGAAATCAATTTTATGAGAATATAAGAATAAAGAAAAATTATATTTTTCTAAAATTTTTAAATAATAGCGATTATAGTAAAAAATATACATATATTATAATATAAGAATAACATAAAAATAAAATAAATATAATCATGCCGAGTTTTTTCTAGTAAAATACTTTTGTTTTATTTAATATTTTATATTTAGAATAGTACACGTAATGGGATTAAAAAAAGGGAATAAATGAGTATTCAATTAAATCACTCAATTTGACTAAATTGAAAATTCACTATTAAAATAGGGGATTTAATTAAATTTGTATGAAACGAATCTATATAATAATATGTATGTGAATTATATATTGTGTTATAGAAGGAATGTTTCTGTATTTATTAATTTGGTTCTTTCTTATTGATTTGGTTATGATGATTCCAGTATTTTTAAGTAGTATTTTTAAACAAAAGCCAATTTGGTAATATTTTAAAATCTGAATTTGGCGAATATTATAAAAATTAAATATATAAAAAAATTTCTTGTGATAGTTTGTTGCAAAATTCTGTCCAATGTTAGCTAGCTTTGTGTAAAAAAATTGATGAATAAATCATATATATAATATCAAATGATAGTAGTGAATAATCATTTGAATTAGCTTGTAATGTTATAAGAGTTGCCTGAATTTAATTATATTGATGACTGTTTCTGGTTGAATTTCATTATGTCTACATATATTAAGGAAAAAGAAATTAGAATTGATATTGGTAAAAAAATTTCCTTCAATTATTCTATGGATTTCGTTCGTAGCCCTTAAATGCGGAAAATCACTCACGTCATATTATCAATTCCGAATTACTAAAATTGTGTTCTGAATATTTATAATATAGAGTAATTATAAATTACCTTCGTAGTAAAAATAAATATCAAAAGTCTGCGAAGGAAACAATCACACATAACGAGTGATTAACAAATGGGCGTTGTAAATTTGCAAGTAAATCAACTTTTGAATAAATAAAGCTCTTGTTTAAAATATTTTGCGCAACATAAAATTTTACAATCCAATGTGATAAATTTTGTAGAAAAATAATTTATTTTAATTTATTACAGTGTCGTATAATATTAAACTTTAAAATTATATTAAATTATAAAAAAATATTAAAAAAAAATTTATGCGGTTGTACAGTGATTTTGTTTTTTTGTTTTGTTACAGCTCCTTTTTAAGAATTGCTTTTTTAATTTATTTAAAATGAAAATAATTTAAAAATTTTCTTTAAAATTTCCGCATTATTACAAATAGAAAAAAAATCATCATTTTTATAAATTAAGTGAATCAAAATGATGATTTTAAGATTTATTCATGTGATTTGTTATATTAGTTAAAAAAAAAGAAAAGACTGCAAATAATAAATAGCATCACATATTATATAATTGTGAAAGTAAAAATTTTTTGTCATAAAATTTGAGAAGACACAGAAAGACGATGGAAAGGAAAAAAAATTCTATGAATAGAAAATGCAAATATCATAAAAACAAATATTATATGAGTTGTTTATTTTGAAATCATATTTGAATAAGTTAATGTACTTCTTTAATATTCTTATATTTTTGGATATAATTATAATATATTTAAACTTTCTTTATATATAATAATATATTGAAGACCGTCTCCTCAACAATTTTTCTAAACGTTTACTTTATAAAGTTATTTTTTTTGTTTTGAACATTCAACACCAATTTTTATAAGTTAAATTTTGTTTATAAATTTATTCATTCGTTTATAATGTACCACAATACCATTAAAAATTGAATAATAGGTTAGATTAAGTTAGGCTGACGCGGCTATTGAATGCTCGATTAGGTCAATTAGGCCCGTTGTGATACCGCTGGATCTCCAAATTGAACAATATATTGAGATAAAATCATAAATATTCACCGATATTCTGCTAAGCGTATTACTTGAGGTGAGATGGGATATTACTGAAAAGTATAGAAATGAAATTTTTTAAATTAATTTTATTCAGAAAGTTACAGCTCTTTTGAATAATAACTTTGAATCATGTTAAGTGATGCAACAATCGGAATATAGTTGATTAAATTAGTTTCTCTTAAAGATTAAATTTAAAAACTGTCTGTTATGAGTAATAAATAAATTTAATAAATAAATCGCGTCAATGAAAAATTCGATAATTTGATACTAATATGAGAAGCTCTTGTACATAGATTTTTGTTGTAAAACAGTTTAGTCTATTGATTGCAGTTCTGTAAATTCCGTAACAGATTTCCGAAGCAAATTTAGTTCTGTTTTAGAAATCATTAAACATAAATCGTATAATTGAACACTAATCAATTTTAAATTGGTTTTATAAAGTGTTCATTAAAATTTTGAGACATTTGATTTTAAAATTTTTATTGGATATACATCAGATGATAATTTTTGGGAAAATATATATGTAATGTTGAAATATTAATCTAATGACCAAAATGTTCATCTTCATAAAAATAAGAAAAAAAATTAATGTAAACGTGTTCGAATCCTTTCATGTCTTACATAAACTTAAAGTATTAATAAATTTTTTTTAAATTCGTATAAAAGAAATTTAAGTACTATTTTATAAAATCTTTTTCTGATATTTTTTAGAAAAATTCTGAGAAAATTGTGTGGGTTTCATACAAAAGAGATTATTAAAAATCTTTTGATAAACTAATTGATTGAAATCTTTTTTTATAATGATATTGATCATTTGCCACAAAATATGCAATGTGTTAAAATTTATCACAAGATACTCTTAAAAATTTTATATAAATATCTTTCATTTTATATATAACACAAAATGTGTAGGTAATTAAGTTCACATTTTCATTTTTTACCCTATAAGATTCTGAAGATTTAAAACACTATTCAAAAAATATTTATATTTCTTTGATATTTCCTTTTTTATTACAATATAAGTATTTTTATTTTACACTTTTGTTTTGTCTTTTACACTTTTCTTAGTTTCCTATGATAATGCATAATACTTGTTTGCACTTTCCATTTACTTAAAGGATTCTAAAGAATTCTAATTATATATTATTTTGTTATTTTTTTTGGTGTCTGTTTTGTTTTTATAATTTCGTTTTATTTTTTATTTGATTTTCTAATATCCTTCTATTTTAATGTCCTTATGGGTGATGAATTCTACTGAGAAAATAAATTTATCCACTTAATGACGGTTCCGGTGGCATATCCTTGAAAAGCAATAAGATGAAAAAATTTAAGTATTATAATACTTGAAATAAAAGAAGGATAACAGAGAATTGATATTTGGAAAAGTGTGAGGAGTAGTCATATGTATATAATATAGGTTCATTAAAAAAAAGGAAAAGAAGGGGCGAAAAAAACAAAAAATAAAATGTAGGAGCAAGAATATTAAGAAGGAAAACATAAGATTTTGCGAAAAAAATTACCGTGATGCTGATATGACAATTTCCCGTATCATAATAATAACAAATACAAACACACAAAAATAAAAAAAAGGAGCGTAGAGAGTGCTAATAAAATAATTTTTTGCTCTTATGTTTTAGTTTTTGTTTTTCTTGCTTTTTTCTTTATTGTTTTAAGAAAGCTAAGAATAATTTTTATGATTTCCTCTTGCATCACGATTCTCGACATTTTTGGGTATTACGAGTAGAATGAGAAATTATAAAAATGCCGTAGTATTCTGAAAGAAATCCTGTTTTTTAGATTTTATAATGAAGGAATAATAATGAGGAAGAAACTGAAAATATAAATATGTGTTGGAGACGGAAAGGAGTGTGTTATTATTTTTATTTATTGCTTTATGGATGTCTTTCATTCATCATCTTTGAAAATTTTTTATTTTGAATGAAAAGGAAAGGGAAAAGGAAATTTTATAGAATAAAATTTTATGTTTTAAATGGCAATTAAGGTCATTATAAAATTTTGTTTTTCGGTTTTATTTTTTTCTATTGCAATTACAAATGAATGAAATTTTGATTTTTTTTTAAAAGATTTTTATATTGATTTATTTTGTACATTAGTGGATTTTCAGTTCTTATATAATTGTCTAGACAAAAGTTTGTTTATTTTTCTTAAATATCATATTGCTTATTGAAAAATTTTTGATTTTTATTTTTATTGAAAATTATTCAGACTATATACGATGAGTTGCGGCATGATTATCTTAAATAATAAAGGAATATATAAAATTATATAACATTTCTATAATAATTATATTTGATACTTCTTCAGTATTTATTGTAATTATTGTTTTTCTCACACTCTTGAATTGTAATAAGCCAATAATTTTTTATTTATATTTGAAAAATTGATGAACAGCATTTTTTAAAAATCTTCAACCTTAAAATTTTTATATTAACAATGAAACGATCACTGTATTACTATCAGTTTACGTAGTATTAAATTTACAAACGCTTTGCTAAACAAATTGTAAAATTAATTAAATTATTAAAATTATTAAATTTTATTTTAAATATGGTAACATCATTAAATATAAAAAATTAAATAACAGTTAATAATTTTAAATAGTGAGCGAGACTGCAAGAGAAAAGTTCTTTTATAATAACGCGATTAGTTTAAAGAGAAACTTTGACTATAGGTTTATTCTGTTATAAAACCTGTAAAATTAGGGGAGAAGAGAAGAAAATATGAGAGAGAAGATTTAATGCAAATACAACTAAAACTGACGGACCAATTTTTGCTAAATTAATATTTGCAAATATAATGTTTTCGCAAATTCGACAATATGAATAAAATTTCTGAGTTTATAGCATTTTGTGAATATTTTCTCTTCTTCTGAATCAATAACTCTCATCTTTTCTAAATAAATTTTTTAATTAAAAACTTTAAACTACCTGTATTTCTAAGACATGATATTATAAAAGATTCAGCAATATGTGATTAATGCTGAATCTAAATATGGACTGGGGCAGTATGTTAATATAATACATACATACTCTCACTTCATAATCTCACATGTTAAAATCTAGTCTCTTTTCTATTTAAATGAGAAGTAAACTGTAATATGTTAAAATTTCATTGAGCTCATGAAATTATTTTCTGAAAGTTCAGATGTAAATGTGTTTTTCAACTGCATACTTCATAAAAATAAAAAAAAATGAAATTTTTTTTTTAATTGTATTATTAAAAACTTTCTTTAAAATTTTTTAAATTAAATTTTAATTAAAAAAAAAAATAAAAAAAAAATGCAAAAGAGAAAAAACAGAAGTTATAAAATGAAGTTCCTAATGTTCCTGATTACCTGTATCGGTCTATTTAAAGAGGTTAGAGTTATACGATGAAAATTTTTGTAATTAAAATTTTAAATTTTTTAATAATCTTGCATGTTTTAGAATTTATGTATTGATTATAATGTTAAAGTTATAAGACATATATATCATAATGGTCAAATATTATCAGAAATTCCTGGATCTCAACAATATTTAGCATTATCATCATCATCGTCGCCATCATCATTATCATCATCGCCATCATCATCTCAAAAATTATCAACATCTTCGTCATTAACAACATTAGCCCAAAAGAAATTTTTTGATATTGAGAAACCTATATTTGAAAAAGAGTTCCAAAATCAAAATAATAAAAGAACTCATTTTACAACAGCAATTAATTCAAATCAATTATTAATATTAGATGGAATAAATTTATATTTATTTAGAACAATTCAGAATTCAACACATTTTGATTTTATAGCAAAATTCAAAAATAGAAATGATGAAAAAATTGATATGTTTGAGGTAAGGTATATAAAATATGGTGTTCTTATTTTTTAAGAGAAAAGAATAATTTTAAAGAAAAAGAAACAATTGATATTTTTTAATGAATTTCGCTCATTTGCTGCAACACTAACATAATTCAAAATTCGCACATTTGGGAAAATCGAATTTTAATGTTTTTTAGTTTATATGTACTTCTGGTTGAAGTATTATTTTATAAATTATTATTACGAGGTGGCAATAGGTGGCAAATTTCAGTCGACATTTTTTAGAAAAAATATAAAAATTTTAAATGCTTATTTCTGTAAAGCCAACTTAGAAATTGTATTTTTTGAATTACGTCATTGTTGCACCAAATGAGCGATTGAAACATTTAAGTTATTTAAGCGTTAGAATGTGATTTGTTTATTGAACTTTTAATGTTATAATTTATAAATATGTTTATGATTGGAAAGTTGAGTAACAGAGGATTATTGTGACAAAAATAATTCAAAATTCAAGAAGAACCTTTAATTCTCTACGAAATTTATACTGTATTGTCAAATTCATTTAATTTTTTTTTTAAATAATTCTTTTATTTTATTTTTAGGCTATACTATTCGAAAATAATTTAATATTGGTTATTGCAGCATCTGATTTTATTGAAATTTATCAAATAAATTATCATATCATTGAAAATGAATTATTAAATTTAAATAATACATCTAAAAATTATGAGAATGACACACCATTAATACATGATGAGTTAGAACGTCTTCAAAGAATACATATAATTGGTCACTTACATAAAATATTTCTTTTTGGTACTGAAAAATCGAAGATGGATACAAGTAATCTAAGACGTCCCAGAAGTAATGAATATTCATCAGTTTATTTAATAGCTTCAATAAAATTTAATGTTATGGAAGGAAAACTGAGGTTTGTATCAGAAATAGCTTTTTTGATTTTATTTAATAAATATCCTGAATTAAAAATCTTAAAAAATTAAAATTTCTTTAACATTTTATGAATTCATTTTTCTAAATAAAGTACTTACAAATGGAGTGAATCAACATTTTATTCGGTTGATAAAAAAAGTATTAAACCATTTGATGATATTTATCTTGTTAAATCTTCAGAAACAGATATAATACACATATTAACATCGAAATTTGAAGAAGAAAGTGAACAAGTAATAATTTAAATATTTTATTAAACGCATAGGTACTTTTGTTAAATTCATTTATTTTTTTGTTTTTCACAGACCAGTGTGATTGTATATAAATTTATAAAAAGAAAGGAAACATTTAAAAAGATTTTAAGTAATTTTTTTGATTCGCATTTAATACAAATTTTCGGTTTTAATAATGAAATAATTGTATCGGAATGTTTTCCTGAAGAACATCATTGTAATTATTTTAAAATAGTACAAGAACAATTTAAACAATATAAAATAACAGTTGGTACAGAAGCTGCAATATTAAATGGAACCTATTGTGAAAAAATTGCATCATTTCAGGCGAAACCAAGTTTTATAACTTGTATTAATGAAAATAAATTGCATATATTTGGGGATGAAAAATTTGAAGCTTTAATATTGCCAAATATAACATTAGATGAAAATATTATTGAAATTAATAATTTTATTGATAATTTTGGTAAAAAATTTTTATTTATTATTTACAAAAAGGATAACACAAAAATTCTATTAAAAATATATGTAATGAATAAGCTAGAAGAAATTGCAATTATAGGTGATGCAAGAACTGGTAAGACCTTCTTGTTTTAATTTTATAAATTATTGCAAATTTACTGTAAAATATTCATGAGTTATTTATTAATTTGGAAAATTATTTTTAATTTATAGCAATTTCAATTGAAAAACAATTAGCTCTTGAACATTATATAACAAATGTTCGAAATTTATTGATTGGACGTGAAAAAACCATTCAACAAATTTCAAATTTAATACAATTTTTACGAAAATATTCTCCAACCAAGGAAAATGAAAAGAAAATTTTAAAAACAAAATCACATATTGTGATTCCAGAAGGTCGAATAAAATCTTTAAACATTTTAAATGATAATTTTACAAGTACTTTAAAAGAAATGAAATCAAACGTTAAGGAATTAAAAAATATAATATCACAAATTAAAACTTCAGTACACCGTCCAAAAAGAGATACTATGAAAAAACCAAAACCAATGAAAATAAAAAATTTGAAAGTTAAAAATATGACAATAATTGATCAAGAATTTTCTTCAAAATTATTGAATCAAATTTTAACATCAGTACCATCTAACAATGATAATAATACATTAATATTTAAGAATTCTGTTGAAGTTGACATATTGAATGTTAAGGAATCAAGTGATATTGAAAAATTGAAAAATTTCGATAAATTTCGACAGGATGCACCAATAATGTTTAATTTAATGGATAATCGTAATTTTACAGGATCTATGAAATTTAAAAATATTCAAGTTAGAGAAATTAATGGCATCAATTGGGATAATATGTATGAAAATGAAATGTTACGTGATGATCAAATTAGTATTATTAAAGGGAATCTTAAAATTGTATCAACTGATAAACCAAATATAATTGAGGTATTAAATACAAGAAGATTAAATTTTATTAATGTTAGCGATATATTTACAATGAATACTGAACAAAATATTCATTCAAATATATTGATATCAAGATTTTTAATTCAATCATTGGAATTGAAAAAATTGAATAACCTTGATATTGTTAATGATATTGCAAGAATTGATAGAGAAAATAATATAACATGTAAGTGGTAATAAAATTGGTTAATATTAATGATTATTAAGTTAATTTGAGTTTTTTATTTTTATTTACACTGTTTCCTATTTTTTAATAATATTTCATTTTTAATATTATTACAGCACCTGTAGAAATTGAAAAAATAAGCATTTTGAATCACTTACACTTGGATGAAGAAAATGAGAGAATATTTGCTCGTCATATTTTTGGTACAAAGCATGAAGATTTCCAACAGATTTACACTGGTAATATTACAATTAATGGTGATGTTACTTTACATAATATAAATGGGAATGATGAAAATACTAGATTTATAATTGGAGATCAAATGCTTGAAGGTGATTTTTCGAAAAATTTTTGGTTGAAACACATTGATCAGGTATATAACATATAATAATAAATACTTTATTTTTTCTTTTATAAATTTAAATTTCTCATTTTCTAATTGAATCCTTGTAGCAAATTGAACATCCTATTAAATTTACATCCTTTGTTAATTTAACAGAAGTTGAAACTAGAAATCTTAATGATTTTCCTTTAGAAGATTATTTATTATGGAATAAAAATCCCAACAAACCAATTAATTTATTTTTTAAGAATGCAAGAGTTATTGGTAACATTACAGTTAATAATAGTGAATCACAAATTAAAAGAATAGCAAATCAAGCAACTTCTGATATAACAAATATTTTCATAAATAATACAAAAAATTTCATGTCAGGTTTGCGAGTAAATGAATTATCAACTCAATTAATAAATGATATTAGAACTTCTGATCTGGTTAAGAAATCAACTGTTGTTGTTAATGATTTTGAAGAAAAAACTTTTCAAAATCTTAATGTATTAAGAAATTTTACTGTTGATTCAGAATTAATTGTTGAACGTGTTAATAATATTATTAATGTTACTGAATATCTAGATCAATATATTAAAATTGTAATGGAAAGAATTAATGATACAACAGTAATTACTGAACCGATAAAATTAAAAAATATTTTTGTAGAAAATTTAAATGGTTTTAATATAAATAATTTATTAAATACATTTCTTAAAAATAATAGTAATGCAAATAATAGTAAAATCATTTTAAATAAAACAGTCATCATCGAAGGAAATGCTAAATTTACAAATAATTTGTTAGTTAATGAAATCAATGATTTGAATTGGAATGATTTAATGAAATTATTAGTATTTAAAAATGATAATAATCCAGAGGAACCAGTACAATTAGAGAATAAGATTACTTTTAAAAATAAAGTTGTAATTGATAATGTTTTCATTGATAAAATAAATGATCGATTAATAAGTGATTTATTTAATAATATTTTGAAAATTTCAATACCTCAAATAATTACTGGCAAATGGATTTTTAATAACACTAAAATAAGACATCTTCAGACATCATTTATAAATAATATTCATACAAGTTTATTATTAGATGTAGAAGCTTCAGATACACATATACATAGTGATTTAAAAATTAAAAATGTTAATGTAACAAGAAAATTTTTTGGTAAATTTGATAAAAATTTCCTAACAATTAGGGAACAATTAAAAAATTCAATTAATAATAAAAATTTTGAAGAATTAATTGTATTAAAAGAAGCTAAAATTAATAATATAGATGGTAATCTAAATGATTTATTTGAATTCGGTGTAATAAAAAATCATAATTTACCACAAATTATCCATGGTAAAATAATATTTGAAAATGATGTTATATTTAGAAATCTTAATTATTTGTTCGATGAAATTATAGAACATAATTTTAATAATATTATTGACGAAATATTGTCAAATGCATTATATAAAAAAAGTGATAATATTCAAATAATTTATGCAACAAAAAAATTCAATAAAATATTTATTAATAAATTAATTTCAAATAATTATTTAAATGTTAATCGAATAAATGATATTTATATAGATAAATTAAATCAAAGTATATATCGTAAACAATATTTTAATAAAATACCAATAAATGGTAAAAAATTATTTAAAAAACCATTAAAAATTCATACTTTATATACAAATAAAATAAATTCAATTAATATTGATGATTTAATATTTGCAAATAATGAAAAAATATGGCCTATATTATGTTTAAATAGTAATGTTCTAATTAAAAATTTATATGTTAATGAAATAAATCATATGCCATTAGAATTTTTATTAAAAAATCGTTTAAAATTAAATGGTCCTGGACAAGAAATTTATGGTCATTTAACATTTGAAAATTTAAAATTAACTGAACATGTACAATTGCAAACAATAAATAATATTCCAATTGATGAATTAATATTTAAATATTCAAATAATATACAAGAAATTATTGGTGTAAAAACTTTATCAAGTAACAGTAATTTAGAAATTTATGGACCATCAACAATAATTTATTTAAATGATTATGATTTAATTGAAAAATATCATTCAACTATATTATTAAATAATAATGGTACAATAAAAAATTTAAATATTATGGAATCAATAAAATTTAATAATAAATTTATTATAAATAATACATTAAATAATTATGATATTAATATGTATTATGATTGGCATAATTATAAATGTAAAAATTTAAAAATAAAATTAAATCATATTAATGAAATTTATAATGAAATCGAAGAAATTTTAAATTTAAATCAAAATTATCATAATTCAAATGCATTAATTTATATTGATTATAATTTAAAGAAAATTGTTGAATGGCAAGAAAATGATAATAATGATAATATATATTCATGGGATCAATTATATTATAAAAAATTAATTGATCATAATAATGATAATGATAATTTGAGTAAATTAAATATGTTAAATAATCATAATAAAAATAAATGTGAAAATGAATTATTTGCAATTAAAAATATCAATAAAAATAATTTAATAATAAATTATCAAAAAACAACAATAATTAAAAAGAAATATGAAAAATTAAATATTTTTGCTGAAAATGATTGTTCTCTCAATAAAAGTTTAATAAAGTTTTCATGGCAATCTCTATCAAATAATTTATATTATTATAAAGATATAACATTTAATAATACTGTTAAAATAATTGATATATTTAATAATTATTTAAATAAAAATTATAATAAATTAGTTTTATTAGAATTTGCAAATAATCAAAATATTTTCATTAAAATTGATTTATACAATAACATTATGTTTTATGAAGAGAATTTAATTTCAAATGAATATTTTAAAAATTCAAATATTAATTTTAAAATATTAAAAATTAAACAATTTCTAAATAATTATGATTACAAAAATGATTCATATTATAATCATGAATATGTTCAAAAAGAAAAAAATGAAGAAAATTCAAATATATTTTTAATAAATTTAGAATGGAAAAATCATAATTATGATATTAATATGTTGGGAATTAAAAATTATCAACAATATTATTTAACAATTTATAAATTAAAATATTTAAATAATATTAGTAAATTTATAAAAATTGATAATATATTATTACCATCATTTGAAAATGATAATAAAATTAATATTAATAATATATTAATTGATTTAATAGAAACAAAAATTAATAGATATAATTTAATTTTCACATATATTAATTATCCGCAGTTATATGTATATGATTTAGATGAATCCATTGATTATACTAATTATTATAATCAAAAATATTCAAAAAGTTTTTCATCTTCATATTCAAATATCTATAATGGTAATGATTATAATAATCATAATAATAATTATTATGAAAATTATAAAATAATAAATAAATTTCATTTATATCAAATAATAAAAATTAATAAAAATATAATTAATTTTAATTCATTTCAAATGAAATATGATAATTATATTGTAATTATTGTTAAACATTGTTATCATTTCTATCAATATAATACAATTAAAGGTTGGGAACCAATTACATATGGTTGCTTAGAAGATATAAATGCAATTATTAAATTAGATAATAATTATAATAAAAAAAGTCTTCATAAAATCCATAATGATAATATGAATAATGATAATTATGATGAAGAGATATTATTAATTGCATTAGCTAAGACTAAAACATTAGCATTAAAACCAGTCATACAAAATTAAATTCCATTAAATTAAGAGAGTACGGGAAGCAGAAAGACAAAAAAAGAATAAACGGAATCAATAACGCATATTTTCGTCATAAATTAATTTTGTTATTAGCTGTAATGTTACCTTATATGTTATATTTTTAAAATGTTGTTATAAAAAATTTGATAAATTGTAGTTGCATCAATAAAAGAAAATTTGTTAAATATTTGCTTTGTATTTTTTAATGCTAATAATTTTATTTACTATGTAGAATTCGGTAATTTGTTACGATTTTCAAGTATTGTACTTGAATTCTTTAAAAATATTTTAGATTATAAATTATTTAATTTAAAACCACACTGTAACGAATAAATTTTAAAAAAATTCTATTAAATGAAAATTGAACAAACTCTTAAGTAAATAAATTTTTTGACCTAGGATAGTTTTAAGTACGGGGTGTTGCCCTAAATTGAATATAGTATTTTCTTGAATTTCGTAGTTATTACGTTTAGGGTACCAAGTTTATTGCATATACGCTTTTTACTTTTAAATAAAGGCACTAAACAACAATTGTATGAAAGAAGAACGTTGTTATTGTTATAGTACTTTAAATCAGTTATAAAATATTAATTATAACATTTTAAATTTCTTTTGTTTTCATTTTTTATTTATCTATAATTTTGACATATTTTGATGGTCTTAAGATAAGTGAAAGCATATAGAGTCCAAAATAAGGAAATAAAAAAAAAACAAACACAAAAAAAATAGATAAACCGCGGTTTCCTCTATGCGGAAAATTTTCGTTTTTTGTTTTTTACTTAAATTAAAATTCTGCTATAGTTTTTTATTTTTTATTTTGATACCGCAGTAACTGGTTTTTCTCTCTCTTTTTTTGTAAAGTATTCATTTGATTCTATTGTGTCTGGTTATGCTACATGTATTTTTAGGTCAGAATAGTCATTTGTTTTTTTTTTTGTTTTTTACATTTCCTTCCATATTTTGTGTAATGTATACAGCTTTCTTTTTTAAACTATAAAAACGGCTGCAACTTTCAGATTTTATAAATTCAAAGAATTTCTTTAATAAATATTTAGAATATACTTGTAATATACTCGTATAGTAGTATGTACATAAGGATGTAAATTGTTGAAGAGGATAACTTGTACATCTATATAATACAATAAAGTAAAAGTCAGTGAGACTGAAAGTGCAAAGACACCTATCTAATATTTATAGGATTTTAAAATGAAAATTATAAGAAATTTGAAGAATAGTAACTGTATTTTTGAAGAAAATAAGGATGTAATTTAAAACGGATATACAACAAAGGACATTTTCTTTGCCTATATGCTTGAAAGTCTATTTAGAAATATTTTTGAGTCTTCTCAAAATCTTGATGTTAGAAATTTGTGTGCCTAAATACTATTAGTTTTCCTAATTTTTTTTTGATTGAGGGAAACTGTTTTTATAACATTTAAATTAAATAGGAATTAAAAGATATATTTAGCTTTGAAATTTTGGAATTCTTAAAAATTCTAATAAATTATTTTTAAAAAAATTTATTTAACAGGTGTTGTTGATAGCATTTATTGATTCTATCATTTTGTTAAGGAAATATGTTGCGGTATTTAAAGAGAGAGAAAGTCGAACCAAATACATAATTTTAATATTCTTACTTGAATGCTATGAGCTGACAGCCGAATATTGTTCAAGAAACTTTATATATTTTTTTTAATATATATTATTCGAAAAAATTTCAAATAGGGATAGTTTAAAGCACAGAAAAAGAGAGATATACAAAATATCACTCTTAGAGAAGGCGGTGTTGTTTATTGTTTTTTGTTTTTTTTTAGAAAAAAACTTAATATTTAATAACAATATTGTATATAACGTACATAACCCACGTTATAGCGTATGTGCATACATAAAATATAGCATATGTTTATTGTTTAACTTCCGTTCCATTACCAGTTTCAATTGTTTTAACCTTACTTTTATAAGAACATAGATAAAAAGAAGGAAAAAACAAAAAATATAGAAGCTTTTTTAGTTAGGATACAAGTTATACGCAATACTCATGATGATTTTATATTTTAAATTTTTTTTCTGTTTTTTTTTTAAATTCTAACTAAATAAAAGGATAATAAGTAAGTGAATTGGAATTGTTTATGAATGAAAAAAAATTTTACTATTGTTGTTGACTTTATATATTTAATGTGTTATATACATTGCTATATAAATTATAAATACGTTATATAGATATATATAAAATTAATATTTTCATGTTTACTGTATTCCGTTTCAATTATCGCAGTTAATAGAACAGCTTCAACAATTGCAAATTATAATAATATAAAATTTCTGTTTTTTATTTATTATATTCGCACGAATTTATGTTTGAAGTGTATAATAAAAATTTGCTTTACCATTTGTAACGTTAAGAAATAATTGTGTGAGATATAGACATAAGTGTATGCTTTTGATCAGCATTGAATTCTGATTTGATTTAACCATGTCAAGCCTGTGGTCCATCCCTGCGATAACTTAAAAACTAATTGAGCTCACCAAATTTTCGAATAAATTATTTATAATAGTCAATGCCGGAATTTAATTTAAATTGGATGTGGTTGAGGCAGTGATTCGGGTAGCTGTCCTACAACATCAGAAGTTATTTCTTTATATCTCCGAAATTATTGAAGCTATAAATTCAAAATTTCGCACAAGTAAATATATTATTAGGGCTGCTATGTATGATAAAAATCGTTGAAATTTCATGGCTCCTTGTGGTAACTGTCATACAACTTCAATAGTATTTTGGTCATATGTCTTAAAAACTATTGAAATTTCAGGATTGAAATTTTGCAAAAATAATTTTGGCAATACGGTAACTATATTATTTCCGTACGTATATATATTAGTAGTGCATTATAAATTGGCCAATAGGATAACAAGTTCGTACTGATATCACAAAGTTGACATTATCAACTCTATTTCTTCTCGTTTTTTAATTATTTTACCATGAAATTTGTGTTTCAGTAATATTAAATTTTAATTTATAAAATGAGTTATGGTAAATGTAAAAAAAATATGTATTACATAAATTAATAATTTTAAAATAATAATAAATTTAAATAAAATTTTTAAGGTTTTTTTAAAGTTTCTGAATATTATTAAAAAATGTAGCTGTATTCATTTAATTGTTATTTTCCTACTGTTTTGAGTTTTTAAAATGGAAAAGAATTTTTATTGTTTTTAATATAAGAAAGTTTTGTAATAAATTTCGAATATAGAATAATTTTTTTTTTGTTATTGTTATAATTCAAATTTATAAAAATTTTTAAATTAAATTATATGTGAAATTATGGTTTAGGTATTATGAGTAAAATCGTTATTATACTGTAAGGCAAAACATATAAAATAAATTTTAATTATATTATGTGAGTAATAGTATTAGGCAAACATTTTATAATTATTCGTGTCAGACCTAATGTAATTGGTTAAATTTCAAACTACATATAGAAACTTGGCTTTATTAATGATATGTAGATGCAACAAATCAATATTATCTGGCCATAAACCTTAAATGAAAAACTAATTGGAATGTTGTAGTTTAATGTAAAAATAAATTAATAATAGAATATAGCATAAATTTTTCGAAAGTACACTAGTTAAATTAGCAAATGTTTCATTGTTTTCGTAAGAAAGTCTTGCGTCACTTAAAGATTATTATGACAAAAATATTCAATTAAAACAAAGGAATTTTTACCATTCTATAGACTTTTTTTTGCTTGTAATTTAGTTGTGGTGTCAACTATAAATCGGATCAGCTGTTAATAAAACAATAATATAAAATATGGAAATTTTTTTCCAAGGTTATAAATCTGTCTTTTTTTTTGTCCTTTTTTCCCTGCCATATTTGCCAATAATTCTTTAATATAGATTAATTATAATAGATTTTTGTTCTAATATCCTTGATCGATTTGTAAAACAAAAACAAGAAGAACAATACCTGATAAAACAAAACAAAAATAACAAAATTATTATTATTTTTTTTTTCTATTTGGTTTCAATATATTATGAATAATTACTGGGAATTGGGAATCTTCTTTCAAATTTCTTCTATTTATTTTTTTTTTTATATTTTTTTTTCAAACAATTTAAATCAATATTTCATGCACAACTGCATCTTATTAGCGTTTTAAATTAAATGTTTTTTTTATATAGATGAATATTTGTATATATGTATATCCTTTAGGTTATGGCCTATATTCTTAATCGTTCTAAAAAAGAAAAGCAGAAAAAAAAAGAAAACAATGAGTAGAATCTAGAGAAATTGCTGCAGTGATGTTGATATACAATGTTAACAGTTATGTTGTTCTTTATTTTTTTTTTCCAATTTAATTTTTTAAAACTTTCATTCATCTTTTTTATTTTCTCTTATGCCGATTTTTTTTGTTTAATTTTTTACAAGAAAAGTCGCATAGGATATTGAATATACGTATAGAATTTGATATATTCTATATATCTGTGCATATAAGTAAATATGGGCGATCTTTTGAACAATTTAAAATTGTAGAAATTGTCAAATTTTTATACTAACACAAAATTGTAATTAGTTATCATATAAATTATTGGGAAGAAAATAATATTATTTATTGAGGATTTATATTTTGAGTGATAATCAAGCTGGTGAGCTAAAACACGAGTTCTGAATTCATTAAGCGTATATTCACAAAAAAAAAAGCAAAAGTCTCAACTTAGAAGGAAAACATAAAATGTTCACTTATTTTCTAAATAAAGATAAATTTGACTCATTTTACTTTGGTTTATCAACTATTAATATAGTTTATTTGCTATCGATTAAAGTTTAAAAGTTAAAGATAAGGTAGGAGAAAATTTTATGTCAACAAATTTAGCAGTTTTTATGGCGTGAATATTTTTTTTGGCATATAAATTTCAATTTTAAAATTATTTCCCAAAATTAACTTATTTCAATGAGCGCATTGGTAATTTCATCCTACAAGACATTGTTA